TAAATACTCTGTATTTGTATATCTGCTTATGTTCATACATGTGTTTAACGTAGCGCCCGGCCTCTCGTTCTTCTCGTTATGCATCACGTAGAAATGCAAAAGGAAGTAGAGATATGTTAAGAACGTAATATATTGCCTACTTCCTTTCACACTCTATACTACACATATATATACGTGTGTGCAGACGGCTTGGTTGGATTTAGATTTTGTAAAGCGTTGTAAAATGTATTGGGAGTCTATGGATGTTTCAAGACATACGCAGATCTTATCAATGTATACTTCAAATTGTTGGTGTGACGAATATCTGTATATGAGATTGCATAGTATAGATCATATTTTCCGAAATATACAATTTCGTTAAACTTTCGAGAGTGCAAGGTAGAAGGATACGGGACAGACGAACCGTTAACTGTCATCTACATTAGAAAGATATTACGAGCTCGAGGAACGGCGGTATAAGCGAGAACGACTCGTACATACGTAACAGATGCGATTAAGATTACGCATCAGTAAAATTTCGCCTGCGGAGAAAAGTCGCTATTTTTGATAAGTCTGCAAATGTTCTACACGACAAATCTCCTAACGTCTATCGACAATTGTTTCGCCTTCTACAAAAAAAGTGAGCTTACCAGGAGTTAATTGTTCTCTGTCTCGTGCGTCTGTCTGTGCTACATCTGTCACGTTAAAAGGGATTATTTACGGCTAATAATCACTGCGCAAACACATCGCGCTGTCGGAATGTGCGGCAACCCGTTTACGTGGTATAATACGAATAAGACAATGTACCCCAAGGCGTTTCGCGACGACGAGCGCTGTAGAACGAGAACAGGGTATCTCGTGCGTTACACGGGAAGCGAGACACCCTCGATAAGCACACCCCCTCCCCCCTCCCAACCCCGACCACGTTGCATTTCCGAAGCCATCACTCCCGGGATCCCCCCATTCTCCAATCGCACCTTTAGGCGAGAGCAGCAACAGCATCGGCGAGCGCAACGGCAGCGGCGTTGTTACCCTCCCCACAGAGCATTGTACGAAGATATAATAAAGCATGAACCGCTGGAACACACCACGAGTCGTCGCACGTCACCTGTAACGCGATCTTTTGTCCGTGTCCGCCGTAGAAATAGAATCGACGAACGTAACATACAAGAACTCTCTCTGTCTCTTCGATGTACACACATACCTACATACGCACACCGACGTGCTTGACATGACCCTCTTCCCGTATTGTCACTCTCCCGTTACATGCCCATTTTGTCGCTCTTGCACTCTGCAACGATTGCGCCTGGCACTTCACGTTGCTCTGCACGAAGGCATCTTGAGGCGATGCCATCGTGAAAGTTCTCCCATAGATCTCATTAAACGTCTCGAGGAAATTAGCTCCAATCCTTTTCATCGGAATTCGGTAGCGCGTGAAAAGTCAGCTCTTATGAAATATCTTAGAAAATAGAATTTCTATCCAATTGTTACTAACGATCTTGTGCGTTAAGAGTAAAAGATTTAAATAGATTCGATTAAGCCACGGACGATATGCAGATGTTTTTTAATAATGCCAGAAAAGTATCTTATTGGTTTTTCTAATTACGCACTACGTATTACTGTACTAGAAATTTAAAAACATATTATAGGTTAAATATATTATAATTATATTTTTCGGTACTTTTTAATGAAATATCGATACATTTTCAATACATTTTTCTTTGGATTATTTTATCGTACAAAGTGCGAATTAAACACGGATGCGCCGAAATCCTATTTCGAAATTGATCCTTCGATCTCGCGACATTCTCGGATTTCATTCTCAGCACGCGCGTATCTTCTGCCTGCCGACGGTTTGTACTTTCGATTTATGACGTCCCTTCGTGAAAGATATCATGGGAAACGAATATATGACTCGATGTACGTTTCTACGGATCGCGTGCGAGAGAGGCGTCTATAAGAATTTCTTGTCGTCAGGCGACGCTCCGAATAAACCTGAAGCGATGCTGGTTTCTCGGGTAAATCCGCGGAAACGATAGAAAAATCTTCGGTAACTGTTATCATATTTCACCCCTGCATCACAGCGTTGCTCTTCATGTTCCCTACCCTCATTCACATTGTACCACGTCACACACATGTTAATTGCAGTACGCGTGGATGAAATAGGTAATCTTTATATGTCCTGTGTTCTTCGTCCTGACCAAATCCGATTAACATTATCTATGATCATAATTCATATGTGTAGAATTTTGGTCCTTGCAGTAACGAGTGAAAAATCATTTCACAAAAGCACAACCAATTCTTCAAGAGATGTGTGTCGCGGTGCAGTGCTAAATTGTATTGATTCAACTTAAGAAACATTTAACGCGTATAAGCTTAGAGTACGAATTATCCGTCGCGTGTGAATGAACTTATTGATTAGTAAAGATTTTTTTAAATTACGTTAAAGTTTAAGAACAATATCATATCGTATTATTGCGAGATATTGATAACAGTTCAAAAGGTTCGGTTTTTTTTGCTATCGCGTTGTAAATCGTTAGTAACAATAGAAAGCACCGGTGGTAGTACGCTCGTTGGAAATTGAATCGGATAATCTACCGCAATAGACCGTTGCAAAATTTTCAGTCGAATTTATTCTGCACTGCGATCCAGCTCTTTTCTGTTTCCCCCTTCCGAGAGCAAGCCCGAAGCCTGATTCTTCTGGTCTGGCGCTCGGAAGCAGATAGTTCGGCCTCGATGGAAATCGACAAGAGGATTCAGCAGCATCAGCAGCAGTCAGTCCACCAGACGAGTTGTCGATAGCGCAGTACCTGCTATATCACTGAGTAGAATTGTCTTTCCCAGTGTCGCCTGAAAATCCCATCAACGGCATACCATCGTCAAACCTTCCCCATCGTTCACCCGTTCATTTCTTCTTTGAAGTAGAGCGCAGCTTCCAATGCACGTCGGAAACCCACATACCGTACCACCATGTCCATGCACTGTCCTTTACGTTACTATAGAAACGGGATGGGCACAATCGCGCGGTGACTTTATTCGAACAGCGCGGCCTGAAGTTTGGAGAGGCGCGTCTGCCGAGCTCTGCGAAATCGGTTTTCATAAAAGGGACTCGCGTCATTATTCCTCTCGTCCGAATCGAAGCGAGATAGGAATTTGTAATCAGATAGGATAGAAATTTCCGTGTTGCAACATATGGAGACGAAGGAAATGGAGTACAATATCGATTTGTCAAAAATTTATGTTTCGCTCATGACACAGTAAATTCTAATTTGTCGAGTTAATTAACTTCACTGTTCAATTTGTCCCTGCATTATTTTACGATATCGTATGTAATTTGCTGACGAAGGACATTGCCATATTTAACTAACGTTGTTTACCAATAGTTAAAATCATTAGTCGACAAACTATCTCCGGGCATTCCAGTGCAATTTGAATTTGCGAAATGAAGACAAGGTTGAAATATTGATCAGCCAGCATCATCAAGCCTATATCATCAAGCCAATTCGCAAAATTTTTTTCATCATATTTGTGTGTTACATTATTGTTGCTTTTTTTACATAGTTTTACTCTTTCGTTTGTTCTAGAATGACGTTATCCCTTATTTTACATTCATTCGCTTGTATTATAAATCATTATCTCATTATTCATTTGATACAGAAGCGACTATTTATATATACCATATATATATATATACACATATTAATGAAATCGCAGCGTAACTATTTAGTCATTGCGAACACAATGAACACTTGAGACTCTGTAAAGCGTGTTTCTCATATAAATCGTACAAATAATTTGATACAAAATTTAAAAAGTTCAGAACCGCAGCTTATCGCATAAACGCATATTTTTGCTTAACTGAAACGGTAATGTAATCGCAGATTTTACACTCGGAGAGTGTAACCGCAAGAACTTCTACCGGCTTGCTCCCGCTTGAAAGTGTTCTATTTCCAACGAAACGTGCGAGGAAACTTATCTATCACGTAAAACGCGAGGCGTACCACTCAGCATTAGAATGTTGCTAATTGTACCAGTCCGCTTTGATTCCTCCCAACTCCCGACAGGAAGCGTCGAGAGTTCTCGCTCGAAACTTGCATTTCCGCGCCACGCTCATCACACGTGCCGCAGAACTGCGAGCTCGAAATTACTTCGTACATTCGACTCGCAGCAGGTGTTGGGCACACACTGTTAAATTACGATAATCTATGGGTGTAATATCACTTTGTATAAAATCTAAATAAGTAATCAATAATTAACGATCGTTACTATTGTTTGCTTAATTAGATATATTGCGTATCAATAGCGGTATTCTCTATACTTTATCAGCAACACTCGCATAGTGCAAAACACAATGAAATATATAATGTATGTAACAGTCAATATTCTAAACACTTGTCTATACTTCAGTGAAACGACAAAACTTTTCTGTCGCCAGTTAACATATTGTATCCTTTAAGAATTAAAAGTCTCGAGTTATTCAATTATATCGTTGATTCAGTATACAGAATACTGTTACAGGTGATACTTTGATCAAAAGTAGATATATTTCCGGCAAGCCGATGCTGCAGACACACGAAAATGCCATTTCCATGTTTATTACGAAAATAAAAATGATTCGCGAAAGATTTTTTTTCTGTATCTGGGGAATCGAGATTTTTTTCGAAACTACACAGCGGTTTCACACCATCAATTTGGATATCGTACGCGTAGATTGCGCGTGGCAGCCCAACGCTCGTAGGTGTCGAGAGTACGAAAGACATCTGTTGAATAATACGAGAGGATCTAGTAAAGCCTGCATGCGCCACACAGCAATGCGCACCGTGCATCTCGGAAGCGTTGACGCGTGCGACTCAACCGTAGGTGCTGTTTGATTGTGTCATTCTTATTCACTTTTCTTCTCTCCTCATGCGACGTACGCGTGGGGGGGAGGGCCTCGATTAATCCGTATTACGCTTTGGTGCGACTTTGATACATGATTAATTAATTGATCTTCCTTTTTTTCTGTTTCCTCAACACTCTAGTTGTTCAGGATTAAGCCTCTGCCAGTGTTAGTAAGTACCGCCACTTGATCTGGTGTGATTGGACTGCTGTAGTTAGAAGGCTATGCGTACATATACTTATATTATATTTCATACTTACACATTATATATACATGCCTCATACTGTCTCTGTTCCTATATTATCTATACACGCCATCGCTGAAAAGTAGGACCTTTACTCGGATTTTCCTGTTAATCAATTTTTCCCTTTTAATCCCGCGTGTCTTTCCCTTTTTTTTTTCGCAATGCTTCTACCTCACGATAGGAGTTCTCAAGTGCGAGTAATACGTATCGATATGTTCGCTTATACATGCCTCCATATAAACAAAATTCCTATTCGCATGGACGCTCAGAGGAATGCTTTAGAAGTAAAAAAAAAAAAGCCTGTAAAAAGCGCATACGGTCATTGTACTGTATATAAGAATTATCATTGTATCTTTCGACTGTACACGTTAAAAGCGAAGCTGAAAAATGTTTTAATTTTATTCAAGCCATTTTTCTTTTGAATCATTAATGGTCTACGAGAAATTGTAATGTAAAATAAAGTTTGTTGAATTGAACTTTGCGAATGTGCAAATAATTGTGATGGCTATTTTTACCCAAGGGACTATTTTGTATTGGCAACAGATAAATTTAATAGTATCTTTCCTTTCGTCCGAGCGCTCATGTATTTCTTACTAAAAGAAGTTCTCTCGCTTTTCAAAGCACTTGACGTAATTCATGGAAACGTCCTATTTGAAAACGTGCGGCTCTTTTTCGTATTCGAACAAGTTTCGATATTTTCAAAGGGAACATTTGCTGACATGATGCCAATAGAGACATACTACTACCGGAAACGTATAGATGAAAATGTATTCACAGTTAAATGGGCTACACGTTGGCAGGACAATGCTACGATTAATCGCCAGTCCCGTGGAAAACAAAAAAAAAATATTGATTCCTATACATTCTATTACCATATCCGAAATTTCCAAAATTGCTAATCTTGCAATCGCCATACGATCCGAGATTTAGGAATAAACGTAAGTTAATGTTTATTTGTTTTGTATTATACTTATTAACTTCCAAGACATTTAATTATTATCAATACGCATAAAACTCTTAATTCTTTTCATACATAGCATATCATCATATTTATTTTGTACAATCAATTATGAACGGTAATAGAATACTAACGGCGTATGTACTTGTCGAAATCCATCGTATATATACCAGAAGTGATCCTAAATAACCGTACAGTTTCATCGATATGCAAAAAAATTATCATACAGACGTTAAACCTGTACGAATATTAAATCGATCCTATTAATAAATTACAAGTGAACACGCCATGTGCGTGTATTAACTGCCAAGCTATTAAACGCAAAGGAATGATAATAAAATGATGTTACAAATTGGCTGCTAAATAAAGTCACCGACTATATTTAGCCAGTACTCTGTAGTCGCAAATTTTCGCCCGTGTGACGCACGGACTCTAATTAGTACGCACTCATTAATTAGTTCAGAATTGTTCGATATTCATGACTTTGATATATCCAGAAAATTCCTTTAATTTGTAATTAAAATCGATACAATTACGAATATACCAGACACGTAATATTCGTACAGAATCAAAATGGCAAATCATCCTTCGCTCTTCCCCCAACTCACTTCCATCCCCCTACGTCCTCTCTTCATACATTATTAAAAATCACAGCTCTGTTTTGCGAATGATATGTGCGTTAACCGGAAGTCACTTTTGTCACTGTCTACAACCATATCGTTCATTACTTACTGTACATTATACCTTCTCTCATGCGTCGTTCTTTACTCACACATTCATGTAGTGGCCGCGCGCATATTTGCATCGTGCATATCTTCGGTATGCGTGCGTGCGTGCGTGCGTATACGTGTGCGTCTGTCCTTGCGCGATGTGCAACAACTAGTGCTTGAGCTTCTTGTGAAACGAAATCACTCATACGTTATATATCTATGTATGCCTTTACACGTCCCACATATTGCGCATCGCTAAATGACCGAATCGTGTCGCTGGTGGCATTACGACAAAAAGCTCGCACAACAATTCCCGTGTCCCTCCAGTTGACGAATTCCCGCCCTCCCCCCGCCCCC